TAAATCTTTGGCCTCGAGCTTATTTTTTGCTTAATGCCGAGTTGTTGAATAGTGCGGTAAGAGATGTTAATTGGTGGAGTTTATGCCAGGATCAAGGGTGAACTTGGCTCTAGAAAAAGCTAAACCTTTTTATTTTCCCATTGTGTAAGCAAGGTTGTTACCCGTGGCTTAATTATTCCTAGCTTTAAAACGACACCCACTCTGAGATTCTAGAAATGGAAATGGGCGAAGATTTACCTTTCTTTTCACAACCAACTTGCAACATAGATTGCAGATTGCATCTCACTTGCTTTCATTACTCAGAATGAGAACAATTGGCCACCCTCAGTCATCCTGCAAATGGATCTCTAAGGGGTGCTTTCTACTCCTGGTTGGTGGATTAAGGAATTCGTCTCCTTTAAAAACTCTTTGCTGTAAATCAGATTGAAAGTCCATTTATTCCAGTTGACCCTCCATAGCCAGGAAGAGCTCACAAGAGAAAACTCACAAGTTACAATCTTTACCCAGCTGTTCTTGTCCGGGGGTCCTATTTCAAGGCAGACTGCCCCTTAATTGTTGTGATTTCTGCAGAAAATCTCCTTTCCATAACGAAATGTAAATGGCAAAGCTAGCATTGCCATTAAAGATTCTTTGGCCTACATGAGACAAGTAAACAGAGGTGCTGTATTTAAAACTGTTTCCCATAGGAGTGATCTTTGAGCCTGTGCCTGTACCTACAACTGCAGGCATACATAACCGTGAGAAACCTCTACAGGTAGTCCTTGACTTGACTTTTAGTAACCATTTGCAGTTACGACAGTGATAAAATAATTGTCTTTGCATTATGACCTCTGCAGATCTGTTAAGCAAAAGAAAGCTAGAGATGATTAAGCACAAGTTATGGTTTCACTTAGCAGCCATTTCACTTAATAATCAAGTTATGGGTCCCAATTGTGTTGCTAAATGAGGACTAACTCGTTTGTTTTCTCTATGCAATGTAAGTTTTATTATTTGTAAAGTGAGCAGCCAAACGTATCCTGTACTTGCTGCCAAAAATTATATAGCCTGTTCCAGATCGCATTCTGCCTGAAGTATTGATCTATGCATAACCCATTCAGCATTATAAGGTGCACTGTCACCATGACACTGAACTTACTCAGGCCTTTCTTTTGCTTGTCAACAAAGCAGATTTTGGTGACGGTTCATTTTAATGGAGGATTGCCTAGTCAAGTGCTGAAGAATATTGCTCCATTTCATGAATATTTGTGCTTTAAATCTAGTCAGTTTTAAGACTCCTGAGACAACGGATGATCTCATTGCCCGGCGCCTTCAACTACTCGAGTCAATCCACCGATTTAACAAGTAGGTTCCAAATTTTGGTGAAGTATTTAAAATGCTGATTTTAAAAGATATTGCCAGAGTAAATGAGAAGAGCTGACATTATCTCAGATACTGGAATCTAATAAGGACTGGATCTTTTGATGATCTTCCCAGAATTATGGGGACGTGTTATAGCGTATCAGTTATTAACTTCTATGTGAATTACAGGTAGTCTTCGACTTATGACCGCAATTGAGACCAGAACTTCCATCATTAAGCAATGCAGTTAAATTAGTTGTGCCCAATTTTACAGGGCTCTTGTCACAGTTGTTAACTGAATTATATGGTAATTAAATGAATCCTGGTTTCCTCATGGATTTTGCTTGTCGAAAGCCAGCTGGAAAGGTCACAAATAGCAATGCTGTGACTCTGGGACATTGCAACCATCATAAATACATGCTAGCCAGCTGTCCTAATTTTGATCATGTGACCACAGAAATGCTGCGACAGCTGTAGGTGTTAAAACTGGTCGTAAGTCACCTTTTTTTCCAGCACCGCCATAATTTTAGTTGTTAAACGAATGGTTGTAAGCCGAGCAGTATCTGTAATTGATATCAATGTTTTGTATTGGCTATGCTAAAAATAGGACTGTTTTAAGACTCTAGGCTGAGTTTCTATGCATTCCAAGATTACTGAACTCAAAAGGAAGATAATCTTGAATTTGAGATGATCCTTCCGAACCAGGAAAGGTCACATTATAAATGTACATGCATGATTTTATATATATATATACCCATCAGAAGCCACGTGCTAAAAAGGCAGACAAAAAATATATAAATGAGTAACATTAAAATTGCCTATAAAATGCATCCCAGAAACGCCTCTTACATATAAAAATGCAAGTCTCTAATTTAGACGTTTGGAGGAATGGTTTATAGTCCAGAGAATGCCTTTAAATGACTTGGTTTCAGAGCTTTAAATTTACAAACTTCAAAAGAGATGTCCTGGCATTTATTTTCAAGAAAACTCAAGCATTAGAAGTGAAAGCAAACTGGTCCTCTTTCAACTGAAATAGTGCCATCTGGCGGCTGGCCTGAGGAACCTAGTGACATAGACTGAAGCATGGAGTATAACTTAAGTTTTCATCTTGTGTTCTCTTAGATCAAGAAACCTGCGCAAAGCCATAACGAAAGATAAAAGCGTGCCTAACTTTGATGAAGAATTATTGCATCAGGTAAGTATATAGTAATAGCTTCATACCACCGCAGTTCTGTTTGTTTTTTAAAACACAAATTCTGCATGAGATAAAACTTTTAGCTATTTTTTTTTTTAATGGAATAAGAACATGAACATTTGGGGTAGAAGAGGAAAAAGTAGAAAGGGAAATATGTTTGTATAGCTAAGGCAGAAACCTATCTGGCTGCCAGGACCTAGAGTAAGATTTGCCAATGTTCTCTTTGCTGCAGGAAAAAAAAAAGGGAAATGAATGGTGGCTAGCATTAGCAGTGAAGATTTAATTCTCTTTCAACATAGAGTTTTAATTTCAGCCTTGCAAAATCTCATCAAGGCATTTTGATATTCTCCAACCAGGGATTCTAAATGTATCTGATTAGGGCATGCAATTATTTCAAGCTTGGAACAAAATGTAACACTTTTTCAAAGATTTTTAGCAGTAAGAAACATTAGCAATTTGAAACAAAACTCTTTGAAGAGGAGAGCTGGGGTGGAAATCTATAAAACAAGTACAAAATGAATGCTGTTTTGGAGGACATGGAACAGTCAGAATGGCTGGGTTTTTTTTTTTTTCTTTATTTTGAGATGGAATTCTTTGCATTTCAACAAGATAAACCTTGCCATCCTTCCCTCCCTTTCTTCTTTAAGCTAGCTATCAAGAACATTAATAACAAGCAGAATCCAGTGGATGTGTTAGAGAAAATTCATACTCATAATCTTGATGCCAATAGCTGTGATGGACCTGTTTCAGCTGAAGGTGATGCAGGGATAGCACCTTTTAGAAAAAGAGTACATCGGAGTCACACTATTAGCGTGGCACTTTCAACAACAGATAACAGTGACTTCTACAGTTTGCCAAGAGATGCAAATGCTGCTTCCACTGACAGCTGTCCGGAGGATTGATGCTTTAAAACAAGATGAATAAAGAAATCTCGGTGTCTTACACAAGGAACACGAGATTCAGGTAGAGCCGTTTTCCCATTCAGCATTGAAGAGGCTACTTGGGATCAAGGTTTTCAAAATTACATCGGACGTTCGGCAGGAAGAGAAGCTTCCTCCTCTGACCTGGCATGGAGTTTGCACTTCTAGAGACTGACACTCCTGTTTTATTTTGGAATAAATCATTAAAATCCTGTACAGTAGATCTATATTTAAAAAAAAAACCTAGAAATGTATTGAGATGTCAGAATCTATATTCTATAGTATTGCACTCTCTTAACCAATTTTAGTAATAATAGATATGTGAGAGCAAAGCTTTTTATGGTATTTTGAAGGACTGTTCTATTTTTATTCTGAAAAAGCAGTGTGTTTTTAATCGGTGAACTGCTGATTGATGGAATGCTTACAGTATTCCCAACAGTGTGAGGTGAGTTTAAAAGTTAAAAGAGACAAAATTGTGTAGCTAGTTTAGTGCTCACTGAATTGATTGCAACGGAGGCTGGAACAGGGAAATTAGAGTAATAGCTTTTATCAAAAGTTACATTATATCTTGCGGAAGAGAGTAGACACCTAATTAAAAAAAGAATTCCCTCTGTGAGCAGAATTGAAACTTCTACTCAGAACATGTTTGTATTATACGAAATGCCCACGTAACTGAGCAGCCCAACTGCATTTGCTACTTTAAATTATGTATTTGTGGTACACAAAATGGGCCTACTTAAGCTGAACCTAGTTAAGCAGAGCACATCTGATATAAATTGTAATTTTTGAAAAGCAGCTTCATTGCCCTTACTTTCAAAGGCACTTCCAGCTAGTCTGTTGTGCACTTTTAAAAATGGAATGTCAGCTTTAGGTGAACATTCAATTATGGTGAATAGCGCAATAATTTCATTTCATATTTTAATGTTTGTATACAAAATTGTGTGCTTTTTAAATTGGTTTAATAGGTCTTAATAACTTGTTTTAGGTAGCAAGGTTAGAATTTCTCTGTACATTAATATACGGTTTAAAAACTGAGCTTTAGCTTGCTGCTGAAAAAGTTTATTTTTCTACTAAGTCACCTAATTTTCATATGTGCCTTGGACTTGTGCCAAATAAACTAAAGTAGTAAAATTAATAGTTCTGTGTTTGTAATGTCTGACTCTAATTCAAAATTATGATTTGTAAACTAGAATGTGTGCGTCAAAGCAGTTTCTAAAATATTCCTGATGCCCATATATTTGGAACACAAGGCATTTCTTGAGTAGCAATGTGATACTGAACATAGGATGAAATCTCCACCTGCTTGGTTATCCTTGTGTTTAGTTTAATGTGTTATGTAAACCCAACTATAATGCTTATTCAACAATCTAATCAAATTGTCTCAACACAATCTATGAACACAGCTTCTCTGGCCCTCAAAACTACATAGAAAACTTTGCATATTTACAGACATCATCCTAGAGAGATCGAGGACTTCCAATGTTGTACAAAATGTGTATTAAGAAACAATACTTTGTGGAGTTGGAATAGACAAGAATTGGTCACAGTTAACTTTGCTCAATGGAAAGGTTTTAATACATTTCAGAGCCCATAGAAGCCAGAAAAAGAAACTTGTCTTTTAACACTGACTTACATAGGGTAGATTGTATGCATGGATCAAACACTTATGCTCAGTAACAAAAACGCACAACATTGTTTACACTGGTATCATGCATGAAAGATGGTCTTTGAGCGGCTTTACAACTCTGAAAATGGGAAGTTTCAGTGCATGTGAATGTGTTTATGTGGTGGTGGATTATACCAAGACAAAATACAGAAACCAGCCTTTAACTGATTTCAGCAAAATCTCCTTTTCAAAATTAACTTTGGCTAAATTATGTTCAAAGATTGAAGCATTTATTAATCCGCTTCTGTATAAAAACAATGTGCTGAAGGTTTTCTTTTACCAAGCAGACTTTAATTAAATTTCATGATGTTCTAAGCAAAACATCCTGAATTTGCAATACAGCAAATCAGTCAACAATACATTATACAACCGTATTTTTTATGAACAACCCCGTCTTGCTTGGTTCCAAACCAAGTTTAACAAAACTTCAGGAAGTGTTCTGACATGTAATGCACACATAGTATTTCTGATCCTTTGAAACCATGGTAATGCTAATCAGGCTTCAAAGCCAGTTTCAAAAACATAGCTATCAGGGAATCCTGTTTGGCATTAATCACAGTTAAGATAATTGAAAATGAGGTGAGAATTTCTACTTGGGGGAAAGAATAAACTTGATGGCTGCTCAACTTTTTATTCATGGTTAAGAAATGAAGATTGTGTGGGTCTAATGTATGCCCCCCCCCTTTAAATATAAAAATGAAATTCTCTTTCCAATATCTAATTTAGCCTGCAGACTTAAATTGGTATTTGTTGGCAAGGTAGAATTTCGTTTCCTATGGGACATGAAGCACTTATAGGAGAGGCAAGTATATTTTCACATCTGCCAGTTGCACAATAAATTTAACTGCATGGTGTCAAAGGAAAGCTAAAACCTTAGAGAATGAATCCTTATTTCTCAAGTTCATTATATAAAACTTATCTAAGAAAACAATTTCACTTAATTGTACAGAAGGCAAGCTTATCAGTTTTACTTTTTATAAAAATGTGTACAGAACGTTTTGTAAACTTTCGCCTATGATAGAAGATACTTTCCTTGACATATTCCAGGTGATTAGCAGTTGGCAACTGTCTTCATATTTCATTAATTAATCTTCCTCATCGGAATCCAACACTTTTATTCTATTGAACTAGAAGAATGATAGAATATAGGTGAAATCAGGCTTAAAATAGTTTGAGGCTAAATTGGCAGTAGTTGATTTACAGTAACAATATCAAATGTTTATGGGACACACACATGTACAGCAATTCTAGCACTGATGTGTAATCCTATATGATTGCTTGGTAGTTTTCCTATACAATTTTGAAGGTGCAAAGTGAAACTGAACTCTTAAAACTTACCTACTTAAAGCTTTCATAGCATCTAAGCTGGGGAGGGGGAGAGAGAAGGAAAAATCTGGACAGTTTGCAGATAAAAGAAAACAAGGGATTTCAAAAAGGGCAAAAAGACAACTGACCAGGGTCAAAATCCAAAGAACCAAATAGCAAAAACAAAAAATACAAATGGGCTCAACCACCCTCCTAACCCTGAACTTAAACAGTCAGTTTCTGGAATATTGAAGAGTGGGAGCAGTTCAAAGATGAAGAGTAAAGAGGGAAACATTAAAAGAGCCTAAGAAAAAGATATCTGCAATGTACTGAGCAGATATTGAATAAGTGGGAAGCCTTTCATATCCGTAAATCATCTGTTGCCAATTTCAGTGATGTAATTTGCTCTATTTTACCTGAAGAGCTATGACAAATACCCATTGCCAGCTATGCTGTGTCTTCTACATTTCTTCCTTACAAACCAGTTTTAATTAATTTAAATTACCGGTAGTTTTAAGACCTCTTACCTTTACCGTTGTTTTTTTGTCCGTTTGCTGACTCACTTTTTCAAGTATTTCTATCAACCCTTGTTCTGATACCTAAGAAGTCAGGAAAGAAATAGAAAGAATACTGACTTGGTAGTAGTACTTGGTAGTATGGTACACAGAGCTCTTGCTGAAAAATGCAGGGTTTTAAAATATTTTTAGTTTTCATTTTGAATTACTGGCACCTTATTTATTAAGATACAAATAGCAACAATCAAATGTTTGAATTATACTTATGACTTTGTCCTCCACATACAATAGCATAGTAGCAAAGAACAGAAGCAAAGGTGGAGAAAGTGTCAAAATATTATGAATAGCTAACAGTCAATTTATTAGCTATATTAATTGTTCATGTCACTAATCTCTTCATTCTCCAGAATGCTCAGGGGGCTTAGGAGACAGGCTGCTTCTTCCCCCATTGAAGCAAGCTATAAAGAAGGTAGGAAACACTCCTGCTTACAACATCGCCAGCAGAAGTTCCCTTGGAGCAAGTGGTTCTTTAAGGGTCAATCTATACCCTCTCTTTATATAAAACAGCTTCTTGTTCTCTGAAACCAGAGAGGACTTTACCCAGGGAAAGAGATAAAGGACCATTCTAATTGCAGCGAACATTTTAGGGTTTTTTTGGCAGGCTGTTACACCATCCGAAATCCAAATAGGAAAAAAAATTAATCAGATTTTTATCCCCTTTTCAAATAATAGCCAACCAAATGTATTTTGGAAACAAATAATGCCCTCAACTCCACAACTCTGAATACTTTGCTAGAGAGCAATAGTGAATGGGCCTAAGAACAAGAAATAAACTTACTTTTCCACCTAGCTGTCCAAATCTTGCCATCTGTATAAGGTAATTTTCAACCGCCTTTGCCTTTTCTGGCTTTACAAGTGCTAAATTGCTTACTGCAAGAGGAAAACAGATATTTGGTTAATTAAACATCATTCATTAGTTAGAGGTAGATCTAGGCTGCTCTCTCAAGAGCTCATGACTACAAGGGACAAAACTGTCCTTGGCTGGGTGGAGGAAAGGCCCAAAAATCACCAAGTAAATTTCCAAGGCTGATTAATGACTTGAAACTGATCTCTCCAGCCCTAGTCCAATACTTTAAGGACCATGCTGGCTCTCACAACTCTAATATTCAAGAACAAAATATTATTATATCCATCCCAGACTTTTCACCTTAACCCCGAATTAAGAAGAGTAACCCTTATACGTACTGGTGTTTAAATAAAACCTATTGTAAAAGCTGACCAACTGGAGAATGGTACAGAAGTTCAAGGAATGGTTTGTATTCTAACTGATCTTAGTACAACTGTACAAAGTTTGCTTTATGCACCACTTTTTCAAGTAGAGATCAAGTAACTTTTGAGTGAATTCAGATGCTATAATCAAGACAAAATAAAATACCTACAGGTAAAAGTTGCTATATTAAGGATATTAAATATAGCATGCTGTAATGCTTTTGGATGAATGACACCAATAACATACAGCAATTCAAAGCTGGTGGGGAAGTGGAGGACTGCTGACCAATGAAATTCTGAGTATGTATACAATGTCAGTGCCATTTAGGCATGGATAGTATTGCAGCCCATGACCCTCTTCCTTGCAATGAAGTAAGACTTTAATCTAGAGGTCTATGCCAAGACTCTTCCATCTTTCTTGAAAACCTGGTTCTTCCCTGGGCATTGGGCTAGACTGTTGGATGAATCCATCTTGATGGAAACTATGAACTGTAAATTCTGTTCGTTTTGTTGCTCTGTTGATTTCTCTTCCATTCAAGAGGTTTATTGTATTCTATTTTCTAATCCCTTGTTTGAATGCTCTTACAAATGTTACCCAAAATTGCTTCCTTCAAACTGAATGGTCATATACAAGTAGTGAAACAATGTTAAATAAATACTTACATCTGGCACGTGCTGCTTGATCCAAAACCTGAGCCAAAATATTATTTCGCATTTCAGCTTCCCTGTAATAATGAAATAATTTTACACAGCAGAAAATAAAAATTGCTCTAAAGATGTTAACCTTTCTGCTAAAATGCTAATTATAATATCTATTAATTTTATAAACCAATGCATGACTTAGTTATATATATCATCTTTTGGAATTTTTCCATTAATTTTTCCAGTATATTAATTTTTTAACATTAACGTATGTTTAATTTTTACAATTCTTCAAAAACTGAAAATCAAATCAGTTTTACATTTATAAGTAATTGCCAGAGCAATTTTTTTAATCAGGGTGACAGATTACAAATTATCCCAGAAAGCTCATATCCTAATAAGAAATTAATTGGAAAAATATAAAATCCATTTATTTTACCAGCTTGATCGTGAATATATCTTTCAGCATTGAACAGTAAAATGTTATAACAACAGAATACTGAGAAAATTTAAACAAGAGAACAGAAGCCCTGATCCCACTGTTTGCAGAGAATATTGATCAATCATAAAAGTTAGTGCACACCCATTACAACTTTCTCTTTTCTAAAGTTTTTCCAGATATTCAATAATATGCCATTTAAAATGCTGCAATGCATGTTTTTGAAAGAAAATATATCCTCTATCATATAATGTTTGCAAAAGTGCACAAATCATGTTTATGAATATTCTTAAAGCCACAAGATTTGAAACTGAATGTTCATAAACTATTGTGCTAAGTTTGGGAATATGCCCCACTGTTACGAGAAAAAGAATGAGGAATTCTAGAAACAAGTTCTGAAATAACACAGCAATACCTCTGTTTTGATTCTTGTTGTGCAATTTCACTGGAGGGATCCTAAAAGGTTAAAAATAATCAGGTTATTGATAACTGAAGCAATAAACTGAAGATGTTTCTTCTGAGCTCTGATTGGCAAATGCTAAATCATGCATGCTATCACCTTAATATTACAAGAGTTTCAAGGGCAGAATTGCTCAACATCAAATGGCTCTTATATGCACAAATAATACGGTGTCTTAGCAAGAAAGAATTTAAGGGTTAAAGGAAGAACATTTTATTTGGGTGTTTTAAACTGCCCAGCCTCTACCCCTTTTAGAATATGTAAACTGTAAATATATACAATCTTCAGTGCTTCCTATGTCAAAAGCATACTGTTTCATGTTATCTACAGAAACAAAACTGCTGTATATTCAACCTCAGCTTATCCCCCAAATATATTATGCTTTCCAACTGGAAAATTATCTAATTTTAGTACTTCTCTGAAGTGGGGTAGCCCAGAGATGCTGGCTCTTCCTACACAGAAACTTAAAAATAAGCTAACAAACTAAATCTCCTCCACTGGAAAACAAAACAGTGCAGTATCTCCATTAAGATCTACTTTGGTATAGTGGTGAAGATGCTGGCCTAGAAACCAGAAGACAGTGAGTTCCAGTCCTTCCTCCTGCATGAAAGCCGACTAGGTGACTTGGTCATTCCCTCTCTCTCAGCCCAACCCACTTCACTGGGTTGTTGTGGAGAAAACAGGAAGAGGAAGGTATTAGATATGTCTAGCACCTTGAGTTATTTATAAAAGAAATTAGGGCAGAATAAAGAAAAATCTAAAAAATAAGTGCCAGCTGGGTGACTTTGGGCTTCATCTCACAGGGTTACTCTTGTATGGAAAAGGTAGGACAATTAAATCTGTTTGCTGCCTTTAGTTATATACAGGTAGTCCTCGACTTACAACTTTTCGTGTTAGTGATCAAGTTACAACAGCAATAAAAAAAAGTGACTTATGACCATTTTTCACACTTAGGACAGTTGCAGCACCCCCATGGTCACGTGATCAAAATTCAGAAGCTTTGGCAACCGACTCATATTTATGACGGTTATGGGTATCCCGGGGTCACCTTTCGCTACTTTCTGACAAGCAATGGGGAAGCCAGATTCCTTAACAACCGTGTAACTAACTTAACAACTGCAGTGATTTAATTAACAACCGTGGCAAGAACGGTTGCAAAATGGGGCAAAACTCAACTCTGCCTCACTTAGTAAAACAGAAACTTTGCTCTCCATTGCGGTCATCAGTCGGGGACTACCTGTGTTTAAAAAAAGGCAGGATAAAAATGAATAACAACAGCCACTAGTAGTAAGGAAAAGCAGCCTCTGGAAGAAGACTCCCTTCCCTTATACCACAACACATCCCTGCAAAGCTTATTTTGGCGCAGCATGGGGCCCAAGCGATGCCAAACGTGGTTTATTCCCCGAACCACCTTAAGACAAGCCACAGCTTACCCAGCAGGATAGATTGATAGAATTAGATAGATAGATAGATAGATAGATAGATAGATAGATGGATATGGATGGATGGAGATAGATGATAGATTGGATAGGTAGGTATGTAGGTAGGTAGGTAGATATAGATAGATGATAGATAAGTAGGTAGGTAGGTAGATAGATAGAGATAGATAGATAAATGTGGGTGGATGGATGGATGATTGGGTGAATGGATGGATAGATAGATGGATATGGATGGATGGATGGAGATAGATGAGATTGGGTAGGTAGGTAGGTAGATATAGATGGATGGTAGGTAGGTAGGTAGACAGATAGAGATAGATAGATAAATGTGAGTGGATGGATGGATGGATGGATGGATGATAGATTGGATGGATGGATGGATAGAATAGAATAGAATAGAATAGAATAGAATAGAATAGAATAGAATAGAATTTTTTATCAGCCAAGTGTGATTGGACACACAAGGAATTTGTCTTTGGTGCCTATGCTCTCGGAGTACATAAAAGAAAAGATACGTTCATCAAGAATCAAAAGGTACAACACTTAATGATAGTCATAGGGTACAAATAAGCAATCAGGAAACAATATCAATATCAATATCAATCGTTAAGGATACCAGCAACAAAGTTACAGTCATGCCATCATAAGTGGGAGGAGATGGCTGATAGGAACAATGAGAAGGAATAGTATAATGCAGGGTAAGAGAAGAGGCAAAAAATAATAATAATAAATAAATCAAGGGGGCCCCAGCTTCCCACCCAAGAAGCTGAACCCGGATCCCTCCATTTTAAGGCATTTTCGGCCGTTCGCCCAGAGTCAGAAAACAGGCCGGCTTTCTTCCCCCCCCCACCGCCCCCAAGCACAGGCCACAAACGCGCGTCAGCAGGTTGTGCGAACCGTCAATTTTGTGTGTGTGTGTGTGTGTGTGTGTGTGAGAATGTATGAGGGGAAAAGCGGCAGAGACTGGTGCGCACCCCCAGTCCATGCGCCTTATGATAGGGGGAAGATAGTGGGAGGCATAAAAATTTAATAATAAATATAAAATAATATAATAATAAATATTTAATAATTTTAAGGGATTTTTAATATTTGTATTATCTGTATTTTATCTTGGCTGTTCACCGCCCTGAGTCCTTCGGGAGTAGGGCGGTATAGAAAATAGATAGCTAGATAGATAGCTAGATAGCTAGATAGCTAGATAGCTAGATAGATAGATAGATTAAATAAATAAATAAATAAATAAATAAATAAATAAATAAATAAATAAATAATAAAATAAAATAAAAATGGGCCTAAGGCTTCTTCCCCCTCCCTCTTGGGGAGCTGAGGGGCTCCGTTCTGACGAGAGACACGACTCCCTCAGGCGAGGCTGAAGAGGTGTGTGTGTGTGGGGGGGGGCGTCGTGTGGAGCCAGCCCCTCACGCGGGTCGGCCGGGAAAGGTGTCGCTGGCCTCCTCACCCCTTGCTTGGCCTGCAGCTCGGCCAGCCTCTGCTTGCGCAGCGCCTCCAGCTCCTCGTCCGCCATCGCCTCAGAGGCAGGGAGAAAGGCCGGAGCAGCCCCGCCGCGCGTGAGGGAAACAGAGGAGCAGCAGCAGCAGCGACCGCGCCCGCCTCTCGGCCCGCCTTCTTTGCGCCTGCGCGGACCGCCTTCTTTGCGCCTGCGCGGACCGCCTTCTAGTATGCTAGACACAGGGAGTCGAATGCCGAGCAAAGCGAAGCGACGCCACGCGTCGGCGTCGGCGGACTTTGAACAGAACGAGGGCTCCGCTTGCCAGACCTAATGACTCGAGCACCGATCACCAGGATCCTGGAATTAAAGAAGGCTCTGGTGTTAGATTATATAGAGAGGTGGGAACGCTCGGCTGATCTTGCCAAGCGAAGCAGGGAGAGAGGGCCAAGAGGGATGGATTTTGTAATACTTGCATTATGGTTTTTGTTTTGTTTTTTTGCAGTATTGTTGCATCAGCTAGCCAGCAGGGGTTTTCTTGCATTTTAAATGATCCCAAAGTATTGCTAATAAGCCTTTAAGCTTCAAGAAGAACGATGGGATGGGAAACGGTGTAGATTGCGGAGTGGCAAATAAATAAATAAATCCTTAGGTATGGTATGGTTTGGTCTGGTAGACCACCACCCAATTTTATAACCCATCTGGTGAAATGACTGAGTTGTGGCCACCAGAGGGAGCGCCGGCTCTATCCAAAATTTATTATTTTTGTGCTATGGAATAACGAAGAAAGGAAATGCGATTATCCGTGCTTTCTGTGCTGTTAGGCGGCAGTAATATAGCCAGGACATAGAACATAGTTTTTTTGTTTTTTTTTAAAGTAAAATCTTCACTTGAGACAACGATTTCAGCTGAGCTGCAAACCTGCGTACGACGGAGATTCATTTTGCTTGCAAATAAAATTGCAGACTTTAGCACATCCACTCATTTTTTTAGTTTAACGTTTTTATTGAGTTGTAAAATGTAAGGTACAAAATACCAAAGTAAATAGAAAAGCAGTGGGGGGGAAAGAAGCGAGGAAGGATAAGGGGGGGGGGAGAGAAGAAAAAGAAGCATTGACTTCCGACTCCTGTTGCAGTAAAATAAGGCCTTAGCATCAAATCGCAACTTTTTTGGCTTTTTCATAATAACACCAACGAGCCATTTCTATATAGATCTATCAATCTATTTGGTAAAAACCCAAAATCAAAGTTTCATTCTTTTTCCACTTCAAGCAGTACATCCACTCATTCTTGAAATAAACCTAAGCTCCTTTTTTTAAAAAAAATTGATTTATATGCCACCCTCCTCCGGAGACTCAGGGCGGCTTACAATGTGTTAAGCAATAGCCTTCATACTTTTGTATATTTTATACAAAGTCAGCTTATTGCCCCCACAAACTGGGTCCTCAATTTACTTACCTTAGAAATGATGGAAGGCTGAGTCGACCTTGAGCCTGGCAAGATTCGAACTTACTAATTGCAGGCAGCTGGAGTTAAATTACAATGCATTAGTCTGCTGAGCTACTCCAGGCTCCTTTATACTATCTTTTAGCTCTTTTTTCCTGCCTGAGAGCCTTAATCAGAAATAGATTGTGTTTAAAATGCCTTGGAAATACATGCGAGGCAACGCACTGCCAATACAGGAACATTCTCCATTTGGGAGATCCAGAAAAATAACCTTGGCCCAAGAACTAAGGCACACGGTCTTAGTTGCGGTACGTTTATACATGTTTAAAAACCAGTATATAGCTTAAAAGCTTAAAAAGCCCGGCGAGAATTTTTATGAATGGCCGTGGTGCGATGCGGATGAAACCCGTGCGGGTCCATTGAAGCCGCCCGCCTGGTCGCTGATTGGTCGGCCACCCTCCCGACGCTCTGCCCTCTTTTAATTGAAGCCGACCGCCTGGTCGCTGATTGGTCGGCCTCCCTCCCGACGCTCCGCCCTCTTCGAATCTCCCCTCCGTTAATGAAATCTCCAGCGGGGATCTTGAATGTCTATGGCAGTGTTTCTCAACCTTGGAAGCTTGAAGATGGGTGGACTTCAACTCCCAGAATCCCCCAGCCAGCGCTGCTGGCTGGGGGATTCTGGGAGTTGAAGTCCACCCATCTTCAAGCTTCCAAGGTTGAGAAACACTGGTCTATGGAGATTCTCAGCCATCCAAGTCAAGGTTCCAAAGGTGCTTTTTTTTCCCAAGAGGCAACTGGTTTTTCTTTGAAGACGTTTCGCTTCTCATCCAAGAAGCTTCTTCAGATCTTGAATGTGGATGAAAGTGGGGCGGGGGAAATGGCCTTTTAAAAGGGGCGAACCGGTTTCAGCATCCTGAACCCGGAGTCTTGTTGCGCCCAGGGGAATCCGGTGCCTCTTTGCCCAGCCAGGCGCTGCAGGGACGGTCAGCGCTGCGCTGCTCCGCTCTGCCCCCCAAAACCCCCAGCGGTAGGCTTCTGAGTCCGCGATCCTGTCGCCTGCGCGGCTGGAGTGCACCTTGCCCCCGTTTACGGTGGGACCCTGCGCCCTTCCAGCTCTTCTGGCAGTTTTTTTTTTTTATTTTTTTTTTAAATTTGATTTATATGCCGCCCTTCTCCGAAGCTCAGGGCGGCTTACAATGTGCTCAGCAATAGCCTTCATGCTTTTGTATATTTATACAAAGTCATCTTATTGCCCCCACAAACTGGGTCCTCATTTCACCTACCTTAGAAAGGATGGAAGGCTGAGTCAACCTTGAGCCTTGGCGAGATTCGAACCCTGCAGTAATTTCAGGCAGCTGGTCTTAATAAGCTTAATAACAGGGTGCCTTAAACCCCTGTACTACCAAAGCTCCTTTTAGTTCTCGAGGCATCTGACAAGCAAGGTGAGCCGGATGATGAAGACAGGTAGAGGGGCGGGAGGAAGGCTTGAAATGGAGTTGGGGTGGGTGGGGGCGAGGGGTGGGGGTGCGAAGGGGAGGGATGGAGAAAGGACCGCAAGTTGTTACAGGTAATAGAGCTGATGAGGTTTTAATTCCTGTGGCTGTTTTCTTTCAAAAACCAAAACGGGAGGAATATAGGTAGTCCTTGACTTACAACGGTTGGCTGACTGCTCAATTCAATTTCAATTTCAATTTCAATTCAATTTATATGCCACCCCTCTCTGAAGACTCAGCTTCACTTCAAAGTTGAAGTGAAGTTGAAATGAAGACAAATAAGGTAATATAATACCAAAACAAACTCTTCCGACCATTTATAAATCTAGCATCACTCAAAAAAACAAACAAACCAACCTCCAACCCTTCTTGATATCAAGTCAATGTCACATTAAATTTGTTCGAGCAGATAATATCTGAATAACAAATGCCCCCGACGTTGCTGCACTACAGTTGGTTGTAACTTTACTATTCTTCCTTTCCAGGGCTTGAGAATAGAATAGAATAGAATAGAATAGAATAGAAGAGAGAAGAGAAGAGAAGAGAAGAGAAGAGAAGAGAAGAGAAGAGAAGAGAATATTGGAATGAAGAAGAGAAGAGAAGAAGAAGAAGAGAAGAGAAGAGAAGAGAATAGAAGAAGAAAGAGAAGAGAGATAGAGGAGAAGAGAGAATAGAATAGAATAGAATATTGGAATAGAATAGAAGAGAATAGAATGGAATGGAATGGAATGGAATGGAATGGAATGGAATGGAATGGAATGGAATGGAGTGGAGTGGAGTGGAGGGAATGGAATGGAGTAGAATTCTTTATTGGCCAAGTGTCATTGGACACACAAAGAATTTGTCTTCGATGAACAAGCTCTCAGTGTACATAAAAAAATACATTCATCAAAAATCATAAGATACAACACTTATTGATAGTCATAGGATACTAAATAAGCAATCAAATCATACTAGGAAACCAAATAAAACAATATAAATCATAAAGATATAAGCAACAAGGTTATAGTCATAAGTGAGAGGAAATAGGTAAGAGGAAGCATGAGAAGAATAATAGTAAAACAGTCTTAGTAAGTAGTGGATGGCGTGAAAAAATCAGTTCTCATATCAGTGGAAGGGATTAAATTGATATATAGAGGTATAAGGCCAAAGTTTGTTAACTTATTAGAACAATTCCATAGATTTGCTTACATTTTTCTTTTCTAGTTTAGTGATTTCTTCTTTTCTTAGTGCTGACATTCCCATACTGCTTCCTCCTCCTGATAAATGGGAGCTGAGGTTAATTCCTGTGGCTGTTTTCCTTCAAAAACCAAAAAAGGGAGGATATGCAAGTATCCTTGACTTACAGCGGTTCACTGACTGATGTGTTACTGACTGAACAGCTGCGATGATTCATTTAACAACCATGGCAAGAAAGGTTGTAAAATGGGGCAAAACTTGCTTAACCGTCTCGCTTAGCAACAGAAATGTTGGGCTCATTGGTGGTCGAAGTTGAGGGCTACCTGTGATACAATCAAACAGGGAGGAAAATGTCTCCCATACATCAGGAGGAAGGAGCAGTAAGGGACAGTCAGGCGCTAAGAAAAAAGAAATCCTATTGCAAATCTATGGAATTGTTCTAATAAGATAGCAAACTTTGGCCTTATACCTCTATACCATACTTTTTGGAGTATAAGACACACTTTCCCCCCCTCCCTAAAAGAGGGTGGAAATGTTGGTGTGTCTTATACCCTGAATACAGCCATTTTTTGCCTCCATAAAGCCCGCTCGTCCCATTTTCACAAAAACGGGACATGCAGAGGGTTTGGGAGGCCTGCAGAGTGCTCCTGGGGCCTGGGGAGGGCAAAAACCGGATGGGTGGAGGCCAAAATCTATTTTTCTCTTGTTTTCCTCTTCGAAATCTTGATGCGTCTTATACTTCGGTGCCTCTTATAGTCCGAAAAATACGGTATATCAGTTTAATCCCTTCCACTCATTTGAGAGCTGATTTTTCCCACGCTGTCAGCTTTAGGCACCCACTTAAGCCTTGGAAAGAAAGAATGAGATAGTAAAGTTACAACCAACTGTACTACAGCAGCGTTGGGCATCTGTTATTCAGATATTATCTGCTTGAACAAATTTAACATGACACGACTTGATATCTAAAAGGGTTGGAGGTTGTTTTTTTTTTTTAAAAAAGTGATGTTAGGATTATAAATGGCCCGAAGAGTTTGTTTTGATATCACCTGAGTTATTCGTCTTCATTTAACGGGCAAGAAGACAGTTTAAGGAATTGCTGCCGACAGAAGTTCCACACTCGAGTATTTTAATCTCCCCGTTCCTTGTCTCTCTAGACGTGGCCCTCCGAGCATGTTTTTATCAGCCACGTGAATGACAGCTGACGTGTCTGGGGATGAGCATCTCCTCTGATGATCAGGATGAAGGATTAAGAGGTAGCTTTTATTGTTGTGGCTGCCAGTGTTAATGATGAAGAGGAAGGGAATGCTTTGGGTGTTCCCGAGAGCGCCGTTTGAAATATTAATGAAATAATTTTTCAAGAGTTTGGAAGATCATATTTTAAGAGTGTCAAGAAGGGAGAGAAAATGACTCTTTCCTCTCTCTCTCTCTCTCTGCTTTTATCTAAAGGCATTTTGCTCTCTTCAGCTTGACAGCTTGGAAATGTTGGTTTTATAAGAGGCCTGTGAGGGATTATGTTAGAGAACCATACGTTTCTATCGGAGGGAGGGGGGGGAGGGGGGATGTCTGTAGGGAGGGGTCAAAGAAAGACAAGATGGCAGCCATAACAGTGCAGTGCAGCCGCCATGTTTTGCACATAAAAAGATGGGTGGTGGGCTTTATTTGCACCAATCATAATGTTCATAAAAATAGGTAGAACTTTGACTGAGTTGCCATGTCTGTCTTTTTTATCATACCCTATAGATACTGGGACGCAGTGGCTCGGTGGCTAAGATGCTGAGCTTGTCGATTGAAAGGTTGGCAGTTCAGCGGTTCGAATCCCTAGTGCCGTGTAACGGGGTGAGCTCCCGTTCCTTGTCTCAGCTTCTGCCAACCTAGCAGTTCGAAAGCACATAAAAAATGCAAGTAGAAAAATAGGGACCACCTTTGGTGGGAAGGTAACAGCGTTCCGTGCGCCTTTGGCGTTTAGTCATGCCGGCCACATGACCACGGAGATGTCTTTGGACAGCGCTGGCTCTTCGCCTTTGAAACGGAGATGAGCACCGCCCCTAGAGTCAGGAACAACTAGCACATATGTGTGAGAGTAACCTTTACCTATAGATAGTCCTTGATTTACGACTGCTCATTTAGTGACTAGTTGTTACGACAGATCCCCCAAAAAAGATACTTACAACTTGGTTCCAAAAATCACAACAGCTGGCCCTCCCCATGGTCATGTGACTGCATTTTTTTTTTTTTTAGAGCTCGGCAACCAGCCTGCATTTACAACCATTTGCAATGTCTTGTGACCATGATTTATGACTTTTTTCCCCTCTGAAAATTTAATTTCGTTGTATGGGTACTGTGTATACACGTACAATGACAATAAAGTTATCATTATTATTATAAAAATGGTAAATACCCATTTGCTTTTAAAGCTATGGAAATTGGCCAGCTTGCCTCTTGTTCAATAATAAACTACCCTAACATTTGATGGAAAATGGATGTATCAAAGGGGCTCCAGGTTGCCGACCTCTACACTGATTTAAGGTTAACTCGTTTATTGGGTCTCTGCATTTTTGTAAGCAGCGGAGAGCCATGTGAAGGTGGGGTAGCACATATATTTATTGAACGATTAAATAGATCAATAAATGCAGCCCACTATTAACAGATCTGTTATGATCTCCTGGCAGCCAATCAATACATCTTTGGAAATTAATAAAACTTCATTAATGTAGACAGGTGCTTTAATAAGTATAGAAATGTATTGGCTGAATTAATGTAGATTGTTGATTATCAGTACTAATCATAATTATATTGATTAATAATAATTGGATTCATCTCCTTTCCCACAAGACATTGTTTGCTTCTGCATATCCTTAAAAACCTCTTAACACAAGTAGCAGTATCTACTCATATAGTAACAACACTGCCCATGTATAAAATGTATTTTTCCTATTTCCCCAGTTTTAGGAATCAACACAAAGTCAAATTTTACCTAACAACTGTAAACATTGGAGGGATCTTTGAAGCTGAAATAGAAACAGGGGTCATCATCACGATCCATGAATTGCTTTTATTTTATTTATTTATTTTGTTTTATCAACAAAAATAAAATGGAAAAAAAACAACAACAACAAAAAAATACATCCAGCACTAACAACAAGAACAAAGAAAAAAAATATGACCCAAGTATCAAATAAATTTAACATTAAACATATAAAATCCACCCCTGCTGGATGCTGAAACAAGGAAAAACAACAGTGATGAATTCTCCCCTTTACATAACAAATCTACAAATAGTTATAAGCTTTCCCATCCCTATTTAATAAGAATATTATGTTAAATAAGAAATATTCCATTTCTATCTGATAATCAAATCAACCCAAGATCTAATCATAATACATATACATACATACATACCTCAGAAAACAAATACATACATACATACATACATACATACATACATACATACATACCTACCTACCTACCTACCAGTGGTGAAATCCACATTTTTTTACTACTGGTTCTTGGTGGGCGTGGTGTGGCTTGATGGGCGTGGCAGGGGAAGGATACTTCAAAATCTCCATTCCCACCCCACTCTGGGGCCAGCCAGAGGTGGCATTTGCCAGTTCTCCAAACTTCAAAATTTCCACTACCGGTTCTCCGAACGACTCAAAATTTCTGCTACCAGTTCTCCAGAATCTGTCAGAACCTGCTGGATTTCACCCGTGATACATACATACATACCATACGTCAACGGGTTAAGCTAAACATTATGCTAATTAAATCCCTGTTAGCTGTCTGTTATTGTATATTAATCAATAACCATCTGGTTATTGATTTATCCCTCTGTTTATGCAGCCTAGAACTGTGTTGCCTTTTTTTGGCAGCTGCTACACGGCTGGCTCATATTTAAACGGTTGTCCAATAGGACTCCCAAGATCCCTCTCACAGTTACTACTATTGAGCAAGATACCACATATACTGTACCTGTGCATTTTGTTTTTCTGAAGTTTTTCTGTGCATTTTGTTTTTCTGAAGCTTGAAGCATCTCTCGAAGAGATCACGTAGGTATCTTTCCTAGCATCTGCTGTGTAAGATTCTTTTTAATTGGAGACATCAAGTACGAACATGGGAATTGCAGGTTTTATTGGAAGACAGGAAAAAAAATCCAGACAAGACTAGAAAATACCTGCATTTCTCCTCATCTTCAGTAATGTATTCAGGCTGCAGAAGTCACCTTTTCCTGGGCAGAAGTTCTCAAATAAATCATGTACGTAGCTATTTTTCTTTATTTAAGGCAATTCTGCCCATGGTATTTGTGATCTCAATTTTAGCTCTACTTTGGTTAAAAGAACAACAACAACAAAGGCAGGGACTTGTTTGCAGCGTTGCTGAAAATGGCTTGGATCATAACCTTTGAGAAACACTAAGCCGCAATAAAAATGATAAGTGTGGCGATAAATCCTGCAGAATATAAAGCTCTTTGGAAAAAAAGGAGAGAAATTAATGCAGATTTATTATAATTTATTTTAGCAGGGGGAAAAAAACGGTCAACGGTTAGTGCTTGGGGAAGTGTTTGCGCCTGATCAGAATGACTGGGACAATAAAACATTTGCCTTGGAAAGAAAAATGCACAAATAAGGAGTATATTGGTGTCAGCTGAGGTAATAGTTAATATTTATGTGTCTGTAATTGTTTTTTTTTTTTATAAAAAAACCCTTTCTTGTTTGTGTTATATGTACAAAAATGGGATTGCCGTTGGGTTTTCGTTTTAAATTTGTATTTTGCATTCATTATGTGCTGTAGGCTCAACAATCAGTTGGGTTTCACAATAGTAACAAGTTTTTGCCGCTGTGTTTAAATTTCAATTGCCTCTCTAAGGTTTGAGACAGGGTGGACTGTAGCAAAGCAGGTGTACACATCTTTCTTTTTTTTCCTTCCTTCCTTCCTTCCTTCCTTCCTTCCTTCCTTCCTTCCGGCACAGCCATTACACAAATTCTGTGTGTCCTCCACAAAGCAGATAAAAAATGGATATGAAATTTGCATTTTAAAATTCCTCTGCATTTCCGTGCAGCCGTGGTGGCGCAGTGGTTAGAACGCAGTACTACAGGCGACTTCTGCTGCCTGCCGGCTACCTGCAATTTGGCAGATCGAATCTCAACCAGGCTCAAGGTTGACTCAGCCTTCCATCCTTCCGAGGTGGGTCAAATGAGGACCCAGATTGTTGGGGGCAATATGCTAATATGCAATATGCTATATGCTAACTTTGTAAACCGCTTAGAGAGGGCTGTAAAGCACTATGAAAGCGGTATAGAAGTCTAAATAATAATAAAAAAGATGTCAGCTGGGGAAGGATGAGCAGATACCTGGCCCGTCAGGAACTGAGTTTATTGATGGCTCTGAACGGCCTGCCGGAAGGGATTTAGCCGAGTCTCCAGCTGGGGAAAGCTTGCAGTGGCAAGACGACCAGCGAAGAGGAGGAGGAACTGCCTTCTGCTCGTGATCCAAGAACATGGAGGGCAGAGAAAAGGTAGGAGCAGAGAAAGTCAGCCAGACTACTCAAGAGGAGAAAGCCCTGCCCGTCTTGATGGGCTGCACTGGAAAGCTGGCTATTTTCCACAGCAGATGGAGGCGTTGCTGGGAAGAACGTGTTAATTTTTAGCTGTGTGTTTTCTGGTCGTCATGATTCTTGCCTCACTCTGGATTGACACTGTGTTTGGAATCGAATCGAATCGTGCGTTGGAAACTCTGGACTTTTCTTGCCTCATGAGCTCTTTTCTGTGTGGATTTAAGTTTTGGTCTGGTGGATTTAAGTTTGTCTGGTGAAATTATTTTGACTAAGCAACTTTCAAGTGCTTTGTGGACTATTGGGCCACTCTGTGGACTAACCTTGGTCTGCTCGTGGCTGGATTTGTGACATTTCTGGGTTTTGGTGAAGGGAATTGCAGGGGAATACTAATAAACCCACTAAACCACAGTTACACGTGCGAGTGAGTGAGTGAGCAGAGCAGCACATACATTGATCCAAATAAAGTTCTCTCTTGAGAAGCTAGAGAGTGCGTTTATTAGTAAGCGGGGTTAAATGTATTATATGTGAACCCTGCCGAGCTGACCTGTATCTGTCTAGGCAACCTGGGAGAGATGCAGGCATCACTGAGTCATGAATTAAATTTTACCTTTCCCATTGACCAATCTAGAGACTGTCTTCTTGGCAAGATCAAGCGCGCATCCCTATAGGCTTAATTAAAGTTTGAGTTTAGTACTTAACTAAAACACTTTATTATTGAATTCTGCTGAACTGGCAGGGGACTCCCAACCTCATTAAGGGAATCAAGATAAATCATTGAGGGACTTTCGCACTTTTAGAACAAAAACACGGTCTAGATTCAGCTTTGACTTAAAGACACCCTGTTCTTTTGGTTGCAGAACATCCTGTCTACCTGAATTTGGTGTGTGATTGACAGAACCACGATTTATCCCTGCAGTGATATTCCCAAGGACAATGGCAAGGAGGAAACCTTTTCATTAATGGAAGGGAAACGGAAGACAGCTCTGTTGGGGGAGCTTTAATCTCATTAGCCATCTTGATTTAATTAAATCTGGGAGGTGCTAGTCGAAACCCTGTAAGTTTCTTGTATTTAGAAATTAATTGTAACAATTTTCTTACGTGAATTACTTGAATCAGCCAAAGATACCCCTAAGGATCCTTTGATGGCTTTCCAGAGGCAAATGGCAGCTACCATCATTTGTAACACCGGCTGCCTTCCACTGGGAGTTACTCTTAGTGCTTAAACTAGGAAGACAGAAATCATTTCCTTCTTTACATCCGTTTCATAACGTTTGCGTTAAGAGGACATCCTAAGAGAGGTTATGCCCACAGTGGATGGGCAGCTACTCAAAACCTGGAGAAGTTCTGCATCAAGCGAACTGTTTTCTTCAATTCCGTATGCAATGTTCAAACGGGCAATAATTTCATTATCACGATGGTTTTCTTAAAAATAAGGCATTACAAAAGTAGATGGTACAAACGGAAGAGAATATTTGTAGCTCAGAGTTGTATTGTGGTGTCCTTGCTGTATTCTTGTTCATTTTCTTGTAGACATTTCATTACCCAACTAAGTAACAATATCCCAGCCAAGGAACCACCAGCTCACACAAACAATTTGATTCGTAATAGCCCCCAAGTCTGGGCTGTAAATTACGTGGGGTTGCTGTCAGGGTTCCGACGGATGCCCTAATTAAATCATGAGCCTCGAGCCAAGCTTCAAAAGAAATCCAGTTATTTATTAGGAGCTTCATGTTGGCAGGTTCCAACTGAAGCCAACTCTGACCCCATGTAATTTATGGCCCAGACTTGACCGTTTCCCCCTCCCCCAGGGTGTGTCATCAGTCACATTCACAAACGGAACAATTTCGCAGATTGTAGAGATCACTCCACTCCGGCCGCTGTGGGTGACCCTGGGAGACAGCCCTTGAGGGAGATATGTCTGGAATGTGCTTTTGTTTTTGGCTGCCGTGCTGCTTCGCCGTTTTCCCATCCCCCTTGCCTATGGCAACTTGAGAGCAGGCCAGGATGCTTTGTGAGTTGACAACAGCCTAATCAAGGAATCACCAAGAATACTCCTACCAACATTGACAGGACCAGCTATTTATATATAAACAGAGAGAAAACTCCACTCCCGTAATAAGCACTAAGTACTTAGTTGGGCAATGAAACGTCTGCAGGAAAACAACCAAGCTCAGAGACCACCAAGGGCCCAAGATTGATGTCTTCATTAAACTTCAAAAGATGCCCAAATATGAACTTCTCGTACATCAATATAAGATACATGATTCACAAAAGGTTTGTTCTGAGTGGCGTATATATGAGTCTTTGGAACGACGAAATCATATTTTCCATTAAAAACCAAGTATCTGGCCTTTTTAGGATAATTCTTTATGGCATTCTTTATCCCTCTTAGGATGTTACACACTCAAAATGAGGCGGAAGCGGAATACAGAAACTGAACATGGTTTTATATCAGAGAGCAAGTTGGGAGCATTTTCATGTCAACACTTCCTTTAACTCCTTGAAATATAGGTCATTGTACTTTACTGCACTCTACCAAATCTCAATTACAACATTCTATGCCTAGACAAATCAACAATTAAGCACGGATGAAAAGGAAGCAAATTGCTACTAATAAGACTTGAAATACAGTGTAAAAAGCCCTGGTAGTAATGATGGTTTGAAGAACCACAGACACTGAAAATGGGTAGGAGTGTAGTGACCACAAGCACTTGGGTGTTCCTGAAAATTTTTTGCTGGATTGAGAGTTTGTTAATAACACCTCCCCTACTAAAGCTTTGATGGAAATGGATCAATCTACAGCCCAAGGCCAAGGAACCGATAAGAGTTGAGAACTGAGTTTCCCTCTACAATAGTTTTTCCCAACCATGTCAACTTTAAGACATGTGGACTTCAACTCCCAGAATTCCCCTGGCAGCCAAGAGAATTCTGGGAGTTGAAGTCTACACATTTTAATATTTGCCAAGGTTGAGAAACACTGCTCTAAATAGTCCTGTCCAGGGGTGAAATGCTCCTGGTTTGGACCGGATCGCCCGATCCGGTAGCGATGGCGGCGGGTGGTTCGGAGAACCGGTAGCAAAAATCCCTGCCTCTTCCCCCCATGCCCAGCGGAGCCGCGCGATCATCAGAGGCTTTTTTTTTTTAACTTTTAAAAGCATTTTTTCTTCTGCTGAAAAATGCTTTTAAATGTAAAAAAAAAGCCTCTGATGATCGCGCGGCTCAGCTGGGATCATCAGTGCCTTTTAAAAGCATTTTTAAAGCTGAAGAGGGTTGTAGAAAAAATGCTTTTAAAAGGCTCTGACGATCCCAGCTGAATTGCCTGATCGTCAGAGGCTTTTTTTTTTCTTTTAAAAGCAAAAAAAAAAAAAAATGCTTTTAAAAGAAAACAAAAGCCTCTGACGATCAGGCAGCTCAGCTGGGATCGTCAGAGCCTTTTGAAAGCATTTTTTTTACAAACTCTTCAGCCGAAGAGGTTGTAGAAAAAAATGCTTTTAAAAGTAAAAAAAAAAAAAAAAAAAAAAAAAAAAAAAAGTTGGCCAAGCCCACCTAGTCACATTACCCCCTGCAAGCCACACCCACAGAACTGGTAGTAACATATTTTACTTTTCACCACTGGTCCCGTCCTATTCTCAGTCCTTAACAAGGATAGGGAAGTGTTAAAATATCAAAAAGATTTCCAACTTATAAGGCCCACGAATATACCAAACTGACAGAATTCCCTAAAGACTAAATGGGAAGGGAAAACCCAGAGAGACCCTTGGTGCATGGGATGTAGATGAGTAGGGGGTGGCAAAAGGGACCCTTCCCCATCTTTAGATCTTTTTTTAAAAAAATCATAGAATATTGGGATAGAATTTATGAAATTTATGAAATATTTGCTTTTCATGATCTCCGTTCTATGTGTGTGTGTGTGTGTGTGTGTGTGTCTGTGTGTGTGTGTGTATGCGAACATTCTTGAATTATCGAGTAATTAAAAATTAAACACTTTCAACCAATCTAAAACAATTTCCCTTTAAAAAAAAAAGAGCCATTTTTTATAAACGAGCGCTTTGTGCTACTGCTGTAGGAAAGCTATGTGTTGTTTTGATGTCGAGCCAGTTTGTAAACATGGAACGTTTTGTTGTGAAAGACTTTAGTAAAATACGTCGTATATGAGGGCTGATTTCTTTTGATTTCCTCACAGAAGCGAGGGAACGGTGAAGGTTTGAGACCAGGATCGTTTTCTCCAGGACCATCCATCGTCTGTAACAGAAAGTGGAAAGCCTGTTTAACTGTTTTGATACTGCTTTATTTCTTATTTGATTGATTTGTATCCTGTTTTATTATTTTTTACAAATAACTCAAAGTGGTGAAGAACATACCTTCCTCGTCCTGTTTTCCTCAAAACACCAAGCCTACAAGGTAAGTTGGCCTAAGAGAGCTGACTTTTGTATCTAAGGTGGGACTAGAACTCTCTGTCTCCTGGTGACTGGCCCACAATTGACCAGCAGGGTTTCATAGCTAAGGTAGAACTAACAATCTCCTAGCGATTGGCCCAAAGTCACCCAGCCAGCTTTCCTAAGGTGGGATTAGAACTCACCATCTTCTGGTGATTGGCCCAAAGTCACCCAGCTGGCTTTCATGGCTAAGGTGGGACTAGAACTCACTGTTTCTAGCTTTCTAGCCTGGTGTTCCACCATTAGACCAAACTGGCTCGCTTAGATCAAGGAAGAAAACTAAAATAGCATACTATGTCAACCTTCCAACCCGCTGATTATTTATTAGTTTTATTTATTTTGTTTACTAAACCTATGTGCCGCCCATCTCACTATCCAAGTGACTCTAAACAGTCTTATGAGATCTCCGCTTTAGAGGAAGCACGCTACTGGATTGGTTTCCCAAATCCATCCTGCAACTGTGCTCACCTGTTCTCTGAATTTCAAATGTGTCCACCAGGCCAAAAAGGTTGGGGGCTCCAGATCTAATCGCTTTGTTTCCTGGTTCACAATAGATTTCATAAGGGGCATCCCAGGGACATGTAAAAGAGAAACTGAATTCTTGGGAGTTACTCAGGGGTGGGCTGCTAGGGGTTCGGCAGAACCTCTAGCTAAGATTCTGTGCAGTTTGGAGATCCCCCAAATCACACTCCTGGCTGGCAGAACTGGTATTAAAAAAATTTGGATTTCACCACTGTTCACAGGGTATATCCAGTGGTGGGATTCAAATAATTTAACAACCGGTTCTCTGCCCTAATGATTTCTTCCAACAACCAGTTCACCCAACTGCTCAGAAAGTTAACAACCGGTTCTCCCGAAGTGGTGCGAACTGGCTGAATCCCACCACTGGATATATCTATTAGTTAAGTGCTTTAGTCTGGTAAGATTCCTGTCTGCAGGCGAACAACAATCAAGAAACTATTCTGATGTAACTCTCCGTGTCGTTCTTGGTTCATTGGGCCCGACAACTGGCTTTGGAAAAGACTTACGTGGCCGTTGGCAATATCCAGAAGGTCACGCAACCGACAACCCCTGCTATGCCTTCTTTCATAACAAATGCTGTCCTCCAAGATCACAAAGTCGGTGCCAAAAGATCTGAGGATCCTGTGGACATCTTCAGGTGATCTTTTGGCATACACCTGATAAACCTGCAAACGAGTGAAAGAATTGGGCACAGTTGCTTTATTAATTCATTAAATGTGGGAATAAAGGATGACTAAAGGAAGGGAACAAGCTATACGCACACGGAGATCAGTCACGATGATTAGTCACGATAGTCTTATGGGATCGGAGCATCGGTGTGGAATCAGTGGAAGGGGCAGGGTGGCATCAGCCAGGGTGGGACACAGTCAGAGGTGGGATTCAGCCGGTTCTGTCCAGTTCGAGCAAACTGGTAGTGGTGACTGTGGGAGGCTCCGTCCACCCGCCCGGATGTAATGCATGAGTTCTGCGCATGCATGGAAGGCCGTGTGCATGCATAGAGGAGGTCCGTGTGAGCAAAGCGAGCACGCCCGCGTGCACGCTCACATTTGCAAACCGGTAGGGAAGGTAAGTGAATCCCACCTCTGGACACAGTGGTGGAATTCAAATAATTTAATAACCAGTTTGCTCAGAGTCAGGTTGGCCGTCATGGGAGGCGTGGCCCATCCCCATCCCCCAGCTCCACGGGACAAGCCAGCCACGACGGCCAACCTGAGTCTGGGCGAACCGGTTGTTAAATTACTCCCCCCCCCGCTATCAAAGTGGATCCTTGGCGCTGCACTGCGCTGCAATGAAGAAGCGGGCAACAGAGTGGCCAGCGCAAAGAGAGGAGGAGGAGCAGGGAGAAGAAAGAGGGAAAGTGGCTTTCTCCTTCCCTCGTGCCGGCCGCTCCATTGCCCGTTTCTCCACTGCAGCGCAGTGCCCAGGATCCACTTTGATAGTGGAGGGGTAGGTAATTTAACAACCGGTTCGCCCGAACTGCTGTGAACCGGCTGAATCCCATCACGGGTGGGATATTGGTACAATGTTGATGGCTGCGGGCAGGGCATCGACTCTCCCCAACAGTCCTAATTTCTCATATGGCCCCTTGGGAAAATTAATTGCCCACCCCTGATCTATAGCCTTAATATCACTTGCTAGAAAAATACTGTTTAGGATCATCGAATGCAGATTACATAGAAAAAAACCAATGCCAGAAGGCTGAGGAAGATGGGATATTATTGCTGATGCAGGCTCGTTAATTGAAAAAAAGGCAAAGTATATATATAAAAAAGTCACTGCGTGCTTCATCGGTTTTAGAAAAAAGCCTTTGTTTGTGTTGACTCTGGATTTTAGGGGCCCAAATATTTCTAACACCTTGGTGAACATACTAATGTTAGTAAGTTTTATATTATACAGTTTGCCTTCATCACAATGAAAAAGAAAGAAAAAGAAAACGAAAGAAAGAAAGAAAGAAAGAAAGAAAGAAAGAAGGAAAGAAAGAGAAAGAAAGGAAGAAGGAAATGTGATATTTGTTTGAGGGAGGAGGGAAAAAATGGAACTGTTATCCACCATTGCTAAAAACAAGGCCAACCCAAGAATCGGAGTAGCTGGAGAAAGTCAGATCCTCTTACCTGCTTTGTCCTTTCTCGCAGACTCTTGTCTTCATAGTGGGGGTGATTGGTTAAAATTCTTCCAGTGCAAAGCTTAACCCCGGCTAAGAGCTGCATACTTCCTGCAATCACTGCTTTCTTGGGAGTGTTGGACCTGAAGGAACATTGAGATTCACTTCAGAAGGGCAGAGTGATAGGATTCTTCTCTTTGCTACTTTTACCAGCTTACGGTCCAGGAGCAGATAATGGTGTAATATTGCATTTTTGGTTCCCTACTGCCTTCACCAGTACAACCTACAAAGGCTGCAGTCATGAAGGAGACCAGAAGTTAGCAGAATCCAGATGGTTACTGCATTACTATTAATCTTCTCATTGTTCCTATCACCCATTTCCTCCCACTTATGACTGTATGACTGTAACTTTGTTGCTGGTATCCTTAAGATTTATATTGACTGTTTTCCTATGACTATCATTAAGTGTTGTACCTTATGATTCTTGACGAATGTTATCTTTTCTTTTATGTACTCTGAGAGTGTACGCACCAATTTCTTGTGTGCCCAATCACACTTGGCCAATAAAGAATTCTATTCTATTCTATTCTATTCTATTCTATTCTATTCTATTCTATTCTATTCTATTCTATTCTATTCTATTCTATTCTATTCTATTCTATTCTATTCTAATTCTTCTCTTTTGCCTTCTATTCTACTCTACTCTACTCTACTCTAATTCTATTCTACCCTACCCTACCCTATTTATATTCTACTCCTCTTCTCTCTTTTCTGTCTTCTACTCTACTCTAATTCTATTCTACCCTACCCCCTACCCTACCCTACTCTCTATTCTATTCTATTCTGTTCTGTTCTGTTCTGTTCTTATTCTACTCTATTCTTCTCTTCTCTCTTCTACTCTACTCTATTCTATTCTACCCTACCCTACCCTGCCCAGCCCCTGCCCTGCCCTGCCTACCCTACCCTACTGTATTCTATTCTATTCTATTCTATTCTATTCTATTCTATTCTATTCTATTCTATTCTATTCTATTCTATTCTATTCTACTCTACTCTACTCTACTCTACTCTACTCTACTCTACTCTACTCTAATAAATGAATATGAATTTGAGGGGCTGCCACAAAGAAGAGGGGGTAAACTTATTTTCCAAAGCACCAGAAGGCAAGATAAGAAACAATGGATGGAAACTAATCAAGGAGAGAAGCAACCTGGAATTGAGAAGAAACTTCCTAACAGTGAGGACAATTAACTAGTGAAACAGCTAGCATTCAGAAGTTGTGGGTGCCCTATCACTGGAGATTTTTAAGAAAAGATTGGATAGCCACTTGTCTGAAATCGTATAGGGCAGTGGTGGCAAACCTTTTACTCACCGAGTGCCAAAGAGGTACGTGCTTCGCTTACGCGTGGCTCCCCCCCAGTGCGCTGAGCGCACAACCACACCATCTGCACATGCTCCTGGCTTTCACATCCCCCATGTGCATGCACGTGGCTTTTGCATGGCTCCCCTGTGCACTACGCGTACAATCGCACCATTTGAGCATGTGCACAGCTTTCACGCACGCAATATATGTTGGGAACACCTTTGTTCCTTGCTGCATGCACACGCATGCAGAAACCCGTAAGCACATACAGGAGAGTTCTGAAGACCAGCTGGGTCTCCCGAATTGCGTGCATATGCACCGGAGGCCTGAACACCAGCTGGGGCACGCGCACATGCTCAGCTGTAGGTGAGTTGGGCAACAGCTTGCGTGCCCGGTAATATTATTGACTATGGGAAGTTACAACGGCATTGAAAAAAATGTGACCTACGAGTGTTTTTCACTCTTGCCACATCCTCATGGTGACGTGATCAAAATTCAGATGGTTGGCAACTGATTCATATTTATGACGGTTGCACAGTCCTGGGGGTCATGAGATCCCCTTCTGTGACCTTCCGAATAAGCAAAGTCAACAGGCAAGCCAGTTTCACTTAACAACCGTGTTACTAGCTTAACCACTGCAGTGATTCACTTAACAACGGCGGCAAGACGGGTCATAAAACAGGGCCCAATTTCACTCCACAACCATCTCAATTAGCAACGGAAATTTTGGGCTCAGTTGTGGTGGTAAATAGAGGGTACCTGTAAAGGTGGGATATAAATAATCAAATAAATAAAATTGCCTCAGATCAAGCATTCCTGACACAAGATGCCTCGCCCTCGTCAAATCTTTCACCCTGAGGCAGCCCCTCAAATGCTCAACTTGAGCCTTCCTCAGCTAATGTGCTTCAAACAACCAAACGGCAGTTTCCCATTACAGAAAGACGAAGCAATTTTTACAAATGTCTGGATAAATGATGTATAAAATGAAAGGATAATTTGTTTTTATAGGTTTCTGCCAAGCTTCATATCCAGGCTGCTCAACCCTCACGCAATTTATTCCGCAAGAAATGTCACTAAATAATGACAAGGACTTAGAGGTCAAACTGATTTACATTATGTAATTTAAATGTCACTCCAAGCAGGCCTGATGGCATTTTGAACAAATAATCTCATTTATTTTGGAAGCTCCAAGCTTCAACAAGTTAATTACTGTTAAACTAATGTGGGGGGTAAACTGAGCGGAGTATAATGTAAAATGGGAACCTCTGTTTTATCTATGCTTTCCAGTATTATAGGATTATTATAAAATAACTCATTTGCGACAGAAAGCTTCAATGGGAAGTACAGGAATCGGAGGGAAAAGACAGAGCTTTCCCTTCTTTTCGATCTTTTTGAAAATAAAGATTCATTTCAAAGTTAGAGGAAAGGAGTTAGCATTTCTGTGCGCATTTGGCAATCTTTAATCACCAGTACTACAAATGCAGGTAACTGCAACCCTAAATTCTCCTAAATTTGGCATTATTTTGATCTAGGTTGGATGTTTCCTAATGGTGCTTGAAAGAACAAAAATTGCTGTATATGAAGCTTAGACCAGGACATACCGAAAAGGGGAAAAAATCCTTTTTAAGAAGCTTAAGCTTTTGATTAAAAAATAAGGGGGGGAGGGGAAAACACACCTGGAAAGATAGAAAACTGCACATCGGAAGTCAAAGGATTGTGTACAGAAATGCTGAATGAGACAAAGCAAAGTTGGACTGAAATTTATATTAATCAGGATAGCTACGGACCCCAAAGAACACGGCACACACAAAGTATGTACAAAACTTAATTTACTAAAATAACTCAGTCTTTTTCAAAACAAAGGCTGTTAATAAGCTTTCTTAACAGCCTACAAGAAACCAAAGATAAAGTAATCACAATCTTATTAAGGTTGGCAGAAAGCCCAGAAGCAATTTGCAGAGAATCCAGACGCGAAGGAGAGTGAACTAAAATTGCTTCAGTCGGCGTTCCTCCTTAAATAGGCTAAGGGAGTGGCAAATTAGCCCCGAGCCTTACTCTCAAGGAGACCTCCTCCTGAGGAGCCACTCCTGTCTTTTGGCAGCTCTGCGCGCCCGTGCATTGAGAAGAGGCTCCTCCTCTTCATCCTCTTCACTTAAAGGAGCTTCTGGAGGCCCTGGCTGAATCCCCACCTCTGGCACCACATCTTCTCCAGCCTCCTCATTGTCTGACTCGAGTGCCAGCTGCACAGGCTGCTGGTGCAACACCATACCAGCCTCCTCACTGTCAGAATCAGTTACAATCTGCACAGGCCGCTGACGGGCCATAACACTTGCTCAAGCAGGAGACTATACCATTTCTGACAAGTGGCTGTCCAGTCTCTTCTTAAAAACCTCCAGTAATGAAGCACCCACAACTTCTGAAGTCAAGCTGTTGAATAGGATGAAATACTGGCAGTCCTCGACTTATGACCGGTTCGATTAGTGAGCATTCGAAGTTATGACAGACCTACCTTAAGGATGGTCTACTTACAACCAGTTCCAAAATTCCCACCGTCAGGACCCTTCCACAATCACGTGACTGAATTATTAGCGCTTGACAACATGGTGGCATTTACATGGTGTCAAAACAAGGACAGTCACCTGACCTTGTTTTATAGCAATTTTTGAAATTTTGGGCAAAACCGCACCCATAGTGAACCATGGGTTTGCTTTGCGACCACAGCGTTTGTTTTACAACCGCTGCCTTCACTTAACGGCTGCCGCAGAAAAGATTTTACGACTGTCACGAGTTGGTGCTATAACGGGCTGGCTGTGGAACTACCTGTGCCACTGAATTACTGAGATCTTATTAAGTCTGACTCCCAACTTCAGGTTAAGAGGCATAAATTGGTTGCCAACTGCTGTTCTTGCAAAAGTAATTAACTTCTTCGATGCATAATGTTTCGCCTCCACCCCCATAAATCCCCACGTAACAAATCACAAGGAAAAAAAAAAAAGCTAATTTAAACGGAAGAGGCTACGCAACGGTTCTGCATTCTGCAGCCTGGAACTGGGTTGAAAAATGGTGCTCGTTGAGACTTGTCAAATCCAGTTTGTGGCTGAACCCAAAGACCCATGTATATTTTATGTTTAAATCTATATATAAAACACTGCATATTGCACTCGGGAGACCAGGTTTATCAAACATTTAGCATCTCTTAATACAGAAGTGGTTTTAAAGACCTCTGGCTGGGTGAAGATTTGTCATGAGAACATGTCAATAAGGAAGCTGAGGGATGGAGATCACTTTCAGGACGCTGTCAGCAATTTATACGACCTCTTTAATAGCCTCTTTAATAATCACACTATTCATTATTATTGCCAGAAAGAGAGAAATTAGAATGAAGTAGTATAAAGAACAAACGTTATGCTCCTAATCCCTAGAGATCATCTAAATCAGGGCAGGGGTGAAATCCAGCAGCTTCTGACAGGTTCTGGAGAACCGGTAGCGGAAATTTTGAGCAGTTCGGAGAACCGGCAAATACCACCTCTGGCTGGCCCCAGAGTGGGGTGGGAGTGGAGATTTTGCAATATCCTTTCCCCCAGGAGTGGGGAGGGAATGGAGGTTTTGCAGTATCTTTCCCCTGCCACGCCCACCAAGCCATGCCCACCAAGCCACACCACACCCACCAAGCCACGCCCACAGAACCGGTAGTAAAACAATTTGGATTTCACCACTGAATCAGAGGTGTCTGACCGTGGCAACTTTAAGACCTGTGGACTAGTGGTGGGTTGCTCCTGGTTTGCCCCGTTTCGGCGGGGCGACAGTGGCAGCAATGGCAGAAGGCTCCACCCACGTGCCAGATGTCATCAAAAACCTTTTGCGCATGTGCAGAAGAGCTGCATGCTCGCAACATGAACATGCGCGCCCACGCGCTACCGATAGCGAACCGGTAGCACCAGGATTTGAAACCCACTACTGCTGTGGACTTCAATTCCCAGAATTCCCCAGCCAGCATAAAGTGCCCCTCACCGTCCTTAACTGAACACTGCTGCCATTAAGCAAACCCACTGTTTCCTGTGGGGTGTTCTCATTTATTTGTACCCAACCTTAATTATTTTTTATAAATAGTTTAAGACAGCAAACATATCTTAATATTCCTTCCTCCTCCTATTTTCTCCACAACAATCCCTCCCTGTATGAGGGATTGGGCTGACAGAGAGTGACTGGCCCAAGGTC